GAAATATTCATTGCCACTCAATTTATGAATCCCCATGACTTGCGACACTTTTTCTAACATAGGTAATATATTACCTCATGGTTTATATGATTGACTTGATGTACAACTTTTATTGACAGATGCACCATTCACAGTACAAAGAAGAGGAACAGTTACGTGACTTGTTATCAGTTATTGTCAAAGTGACGATTGAAATACAAGACAAGATGAGATGCATGTTTCTACCGACAGCCGAGAGATGTCACTATATATTCACATTGAGAGACATGATGACTGTGTTCAAGTAAGATTCATATAATAATTTCAAAAACACTTTTACTCTTGCAATTGGAATGATTGTACAGCAACTTGACTACAAGATTGTGCCCGATTGGTTAATTAATTCTTAAGTCAGACCAATCAGAGAGCAGCTTCTTTATTGACAGATTTTTTTGATGTATCAAATTATGCCTTGTATATATGTTTCAATTCAACATTCAACTGTTGAAATATGCTTGAGGCCATAGAACTAACTGTTCATTCAGTATATCCAATGATATACCAATTGGCACCAAACCATTAGTGTATCATAACTGGCATATGATACAGTATTATTACCTTGGAATTTAGTATTTTGAATAAAAAAAAAAGAAAATATAATTTTTTAATATTGATGTTTGATACTATACCTGTTGATAATGGCATGAAAACATTGTTCTTGTAGTTCACATCTGAATATTCATTTGACCAAGCAATGCCTTCTCTAATATGCATGTACACTGCTTGTTTTGGCATGTACAGTAACAATCACTTCACATGTGTGGTTTTGATTTTTCATCTCACAAATACTGTTATGTGTCTGTCCTGCAAATGAAATATTTTTAGTTTATTATAAGTCATAGTCTACAGTATTTGGTGTACAGTATAGAGTATGGAACACAAATGTTAAAAAAAAAACTCTTTTTGTCAATATTGCATCTTTAAATATTATCAACATTTGATAATGGATACTTGATACCCCTTACAATTGATCCTTAAAATGTCACCTCAGTATTAGATGTTCTTGAAATTTCTTTTTTCTTCAGAAACTTGTGTTCATCTTTGATACCAAGATGTGACAAAGAAGATCTGATGTTGCTATGGCGACATGAATGTCAATTTGTCTACGGTGAGAGATGTCAGAACTCGGTAGACTATGATCGGTACCAGTTAGCATTTGTCACTGCAGCAAGAAAACTATTCACTAGTGAGGAAATGGTAAGTTTAAAATATTTTCTCATCAAAATTTGTAGAATACCTAATGCATCTTTTTTAGCAATCCCCAAATAAATATAAATTCTACAAAATCATTAATTATTCTGCATTTAAATATTGCTTATTCCACTAATGAAGAAAATTCAGGAAAATATATTAGAACAAATTATTGTTTCATAGGCTTTAGTTAAAACCATTAAAGTTGGTACATGTTTCTAGTTCGACTGTTGACGTAACTACTCATATAATTACTAATTGTTGGCCTGCGGTGTCAACTTTACATTTTCGGCTTCTTCTTAAAAACAGTCAGCATTATGAGCTAACATGATTCTTATTTGTATTTTAGAATGTAATTCAGACGTTTGTCATACTATAAAAGATTCTTAATTTTCACTCGGAATTTCTTTGGTTTATACATATTTTATGACAAGACAGTAAAATCTAAATTCTACCTTGAAGAAATCAACAGTATTTTTGAGGGTGGAGCTACATCACAGGATGTTCCACGTTGCTAAGCAACACACCACTGTATACCGTGTATTTGTATGGGCTAAAGTCAAGAAAACTCAACTTTGAGACAATCCTGAACAACCCAATTTATACATGTTGCATATGTTGTAGGGGTTATATACTGTTCAGGACTAGCACTATTAAAGTGCATTTTTTTGGGAGTTTTTGATCATTGTTTTTGCTGGTTGTAGTTGCCAGGCAGTGAAAATAGAATATCTCAAAATAGAATATCTCAAAATAAGTTATGAAGATTATCTGTTTTGGGAGCACAATTCATTTTCTGATAATAATGTCTTATCTATTGCCAGCTGCAAGTGGTTGTGAACCCAAGCCAACCTCTGTTCAGTAACTTGGTAGAGCAGGACAGTGGTATTGTGATGGCGGGCAGACCTTCTACTGGTAACTCAGTCGCCGAAGATGACAAGACAGACCAGTACAGACCAGTTTGGGTGGAGAGTAAACTCAGATACTTAGTGGAGCATGCCCTCGAAGAGTATAATAAAACACATCCTAGAATCAAACTAGCATTGTACAGGGTGAGTTGTCAAATATTTGATTCTTAATTAGGCAATCCAGCTACTGCACAACATGTGATTCGCATCCTTGTATTTATCATATCTGAGCAGCACTGTGTGTTCGTAGCCTTCTTATTTTGTATTGTGCTTTTCAACCTCTGAATTTAAGATCTAAAGTAAACTCTTTCTTTGAAAAAATAAATAATACAACAATCAAATTTCCATGGCTGAGCTTCTATGTTTGATTTCTAGTTTGTTGCATTAGTATATGCAATGAGAGTATGCTGCAAACTCTAATGTTAGACTGGGTGAATGCGTTATGTATGAATCTGAGTGATTAATTGAATTCAGTTCCATACTGTATATAGTGATAAAGTGAAATATGTTTTCCATTTACAGGAGACTTTACAAAGAGTATGTCGTATAGCACGTACCATCAGCTCACCTCATAAAGTCGGCCATGAATTATTGGTAGCAGAAGGATGTCCAGGTCTGGCTTCCGTCATGGCCAGACTGGCAGCTAGTCTCTGCGGATACAGCGTGTTCAATATCAACCCATCTCCTGTTACTTCTAGTTTTGAATACAAAATGGACCAGTTCAAAGCTGACTTGGTGTCTGCTTATACTAAAACAGCTGTGAAGGTAAATCCTTGTTTGTTTGTTTTACTTTATAAATTTCAAAAAAACTAATTTTAACCCAATCTTAACTCCAAATTCTGCTTTCTAGCCCCTTCTCTCTCATGCAAGTAAAAAAGAATACACAGTAATGTATGTGAATGTACTGTGCAATACTTTTTCTCAACTTTATCGTTACATTGTTTTACATAGATGGATAAAGTGATGCTGTTACTCAATGAAGATGAACTGGTGGACGAGGACTTCTTGGTACATATCGGCGAGTTCATCGAGAACGGTGCAATAACTCATCTGTTTACGTCAGAGGAACAAACAACAATCATAAATTCTATCCGCACTGAGGTCACTGCGGCTGGATTGACTTACACAAGGGAGGTGGCATGGGATTATTTCCTCAAGTGAGTATCATGTGACTTGGGGTTATCTGATTGGTTAATTAAAGTCACCTGATTTGATAGTTGAAAAGCTATTGGTCATATGAGAGGATTGATACCCATTTAAAATCAAATTGTATATTTATACATTTATCACATGCACCGGGTACTTTTAAATTTGAAACATTAAGCTTCTGAAGAAACCATTGCTTTTACAGTTTTTCTGAGTATTAAGAATGAACAAAATTAAAAACTGATATAAAGTGCAAAAGAAAGTTTAGTTTTTTACCTTAATCAATGTCTTCTTACATTCCAGGACTGTTCAGAATAGTTTCCGTGTGGTGTTGACTTCTTCCACCGGGGGCACCTTTTTCCAGAGACGGTGTCGAGAGTACCCGACTGTTACCAGTCATCTACGATGTCTCTGGTTTCCTCACTGGTCAAAAGAAAAACTTGTCACTCATGCCTTCTATCATCTCAAAGGTGAGTTGATAATTTTTACTATCATTGTACGAAGCACCATGCCTTTTCAATTAATGGCAACATACATCATACAGTACTTGTGTGTGTATTTAGGCATAAATATGTTAAAACTTTTCTAAACTGAACACCAAGGGAGCTGAGAGCATTGCTCAGTTAACAAGGGTGTTCAGTTTATAGAGGTCTTAAGTGAAATCTGTCTAAACTGAACACCAAGGGAGCTGAGAGCATTGCTCAGTTAACAATGGTGTTCAGTTTATAGAGGTCTTACAGTGAAACCTGTCTAAACTGAACACCAAGGGAGCTGAGAGCATTGCTCAGTTAACAAAGGTGTTCAGTTTATAGAGGTCTTACAGTGAAACCTGTCTAAACTGAACACCAAGGGAGCTAAGAGCATTGTTCAATTAATAAAGGTGTTCAGCTTATAGAGGTCTTACAGTGAAACCTGTCCAAACTGAACACCACGGGGACTGAGACCAATGTTGAGTTTACAGAAATGTTCCAGGGTCTTTTATTCCAGCAAATCTATGCAGACTGGTTCAGAGATTTGGAATAAAAAGATTAGATTTCCAGTTTTTTTTAAATGTATACTGCTCTCTGGTGTCCAATTAGTTGAATTCATATTACTTTGTTTTTTCCTCAGAAATTGCACAGTTGAACTATGTGCAAAAGGAGAACTTAGCACATCTACTAGCAACCATGCACATAGCAATCCGCCATCTGGATGGCCGGGAGAGAGATGCTGGCAGTTATAACCACCTTACTAATACTACTTACGAGAAATTTATAGAAAGGTAGGAAGAACATTTTCTAAACATGGGGATCATTAGTTACATGGACATATCCAAATTTCTGCAAGCCTACTGTACTTGGTGCATCAATCATCGGTTTTAAGAAACAGTCTTATATTGTTGTAGATGCTTAAAAAAAACCTAATTTATTACTCTACAGAGGTGTTAGTTTGAATTGATTTCAATTGATGTATTTCATCTTTACACTGTACACTAATGTGTTACATGCAATTAACAGAAAAATATGTGCAGTTGATTTGTGGCAACATGTTTTTTGTTTTATTTATCAAATATTCTGATCACTTCTAAGAATCACACAAAGTTAAAGTTGAAGAATCAGCATAAATATGTTAGTTGCTTTGAAACTCATGGTTGATGGTTTCAAGTTTCTGTTGAAATTACTCCATAATAGGAGTTTCAATTTGCAGTATATTTTAAACATAAGAACCACACTTGTTAGGCGTCTGTTTTTAAAACCATTCCAGATGAAAATTGGTTCCATGCATTGTCATATGTAGCATTCTAGTTTCTCATTCTGATCACATCATACAAAATTATTGTGCATGGTTTCTGTCTGGTCAATTCAGTGATTGATCTAGTCTGATTTTTATTATTACATCACTGATGCCATTTCTTGTGTATTTATTTAATAGGTTTATCTCTGTGTGTAAAGATCGAGATGACATGATCACAAAAGAACATGACACTGTCACACACGCACTGGATCACATCAATAGAGAGAATGATTTGGCTGACAGACTCAAAAAACAACTGGAACATGAGAAAGTGGTTCTGGAAGAGAGAAAGGATGTAAGTTAACAAGGAATTTGTGATTTTTATTGGCAGTGCATCTCTTAGGGTTATTGTAAAATTGTTTGATCTGTTGCACAAATGATGTCTCTTTTTGGACAGTTTAGGGAAACAGTGCACGAACCATTCATAACCATTCTATGCCTAGACAACATCAACAACGATGAATTACCACATTCTGCAAGTATTCATGACAATCCATAGACATACTCATGGATGTTATGCAGTTGGTTGATAAACTTCAGTGCTGCATTAAATGCAAATTACCCTCCACTGAACTGTACTCTGCTGAATGTATCAGAATATGGAAATAGTGTATTATAAAACACTTAGTTACTGGCTATGAAGCCAATAACACACTGTAAACTGTTTAATTTTTGTGAGAAATGTTCAATGTGAAATGTATTTGCGAAAGTATCTAACACTGTGTGTGTCGTAGGACTAAAGTCAATCTTCATTACATTTCACGATATCCACTGACTCGCTAAAGTCATGGTAATTTGTCTTTTGCAAATTTGAAGTAGTTTACAGTCTCTCTCTGGTAAAAAAAAAAAGAAGGTTTTCCCGAGCCATGGTTTTTTGTGACCTACATCCTCTTATGATATAAACAGATTGTATTGTAGTGGCTTTGTAGTTTCCTGATAAATTAAGTATATGGAAGATATTAAAATGTAGCATTATTTAGTATTAACAATAAATATATTCTATTTTCACTGTTGAGTGAAGAAATATACAGAGCTCTGAATGATATATAGATGGGTTCAATGATATATAGATGGGTTCAACTCACATTCTACTAATACCTGTGTTCCTGTATAAATCTACTTGTCAGTAAAACTATGTTGTTTCTTCTCTACAGGGCACTATCAAGTTATTATCACAGATCGGTCAGGACACTGCAATTGCTGAACAACAAGTCAAAATTGTCAAGAACCAAGAAGAGAAAATTAAAAGTCTGAAAAAGGTACAGTATAGAGGTTATTGGTTTTCTTATTTATAATATCAATTTAATTGATTTCAATATATTATAAATGCTCTTTCTGTCTGCAGTAAATTTTACTGAAAATGTGAAAATTAATTTATTAAAATTTACATTGGCATGTATATGAAAAATGTTTCTTTCATTTGTCTATTCCAAATTTTAAATAACTCCAAAGATAGTCCAGATATTACAACTTAATTGTGTACTCATACTTAACATGATCATCAAGTACAAACAAATTAAATATAAATAAATTAAAAATGACAAGAATGTGGTAAAACTCACAATGCATGGATAGAATTTGTCAAGTCAAGTCAAGTTTACCTGAATGTGTAAATCATTTGTTATAGAGAAACCACATTTCCAAATACCTAATAATTCTCTTGATGACTTGATAGTGTTTGCAATACAACTAAAATTGTCACTGTGACTCTTAATAAAATGTGGATGAAATGTGGGTAGGAACATGCGTTATGACTTGCTTCATGTCAGAAGGTTATAATTTGTGTGGGTTGACTTCACACAGGCTCTTCCGCAATACGAGGAAGCCCACCAGAGGGCGATATACAAGGCATCTCGTATCATCAAAGACACTAAGAACATAGTGGAGACTATAGACATGAACGGGTTATCTGACTTGAGATCTATGCAGAAACCTGATGTGGATATTGAGGATTTGATGGCAGCTATTATTATGATTTGTAAGTTATTATTCATCTTATTCAACAAGTATAGAAGTGAAGGAACATCTGTTAAAAGTAAAGCAGTTGTTGGAACCATTTGATATGAATCCCGTAGGTTGTATGCAGCATGTGTATAAAGATAAACACAGCTGCAGTGGAATACATGGCCTCAGATAAAAAAAAAACAATATTTTTATAAATCATAATTATATCTAATAATTAACCAGATTCAATCATCTGAACAACAAACTCACATTGCATCCTTTGCGAGAAGGAATTCAGGTCATTTTTATCTTGTTTGATCGTGTGCATTCTTTGTGTAACACATCTCTGACATTCTCATTTTTCAAATGCATATATTTGATTTTTCAACACTACAAAGTGTTATAATTGAAAAAAAGCACTGCACATATTATTCCCTAAACAGATACTGTTCACTTAAATCACAGGGTGTCAGGCAGTTTCATAGAACAGCAAAACATTGGATGATTATCCCAATTTTATACATGCTTCTAATCTCTGATTCGCTGATCTCTGTATGTTACTGAATATGTACATATTAATTATGTTGTCATCTTACAGTGAAAAGTCCTGCTGCTGATTTAACTTGGAGTAAAGGAGCCAAGCGTCAGATGGCTAATCTTGATAGGTAAGCAACAATTACTGTAAAATCTGAATTAGAAATCACGGCTTCCATTAAAATGGTACAATGCAACAGAAGGGATGCTGCTTCTATTAGAGCACCTACACATATGAGAAATGATCTATTTATTTATTTTTGATTTATTTTCTAATCAGGTTTGTGGAGGAGCTGATGGGTTTTGATGAGAGTCTGTTACCAGAGCCCACATTGAATCTTGTAGAGCCTTACCTTAAGAAGACGTCTTTTGCAGCAGATAATATGAAGAGAAAGACTGGCAATGATGCTGCTGCCTCTCTGTGTAGCTGGGTCAGAGGTGTAGTCAGGTACATGTTTAATAATGGGCATTCATGCAATGTAGTGTTTAATAGCATCATCTCAATACTGTAGAATATTTTATTTTCACTTGGAATTTATTTTCGCTATTTTCTCTGAAGGGATGATTCCGTGAAAATAAAATCCAGCGAATATAAGTTTTTTCCTATATTTCACATTCAACTCATCAAAAATCAGTGAAAATCAGTTTATTTAGGCTTGATTTTATAATGAAAAGACAGAAATGTCATGTGTAGACAGTGAGTCCCACGCAATGAGAATGTTGCCATGGCAATCCATTTTAGAGGGCTCCTGAAATGGTAATGCACATTCACTATCATGCTAAATACAAAAAAAATAAAATCTTGGGGTAGAGTTATAATTGAGTGGTTGCTGCAGTTTTAAGGTGCCTTTTAACAGGACTGTTTTTGTAGGGATCTTGAGTCAAAAAGGAATCCCCAAATTCAACCCAGGGATCAGAAAATGAACATCTGTTTGGAATACAAAAATCCCAAACAGAAAAAAAAACACTTGCTTAGACACGCTTGCAGAATATTTTACAATTCTGTGATTGCACTTATATTTTCACAGATATCACCGTCTTATGTTATCTAAAGTCAAACCTTTACATGCTAAAGTTGAAGAGACCGCAGCTGCAGTGGAGGAAGCGGAGCATAAATTATCAACACTGGTCAGTAAAAGAAAGGTATGTAGCAATCGTCTGTCGAAATATGGAAGTTTCTAAAATCAGATTGTAATAACTGATCATTGACAGTACTGAAATAGTTGTTGATTCATCTCTGTGACTGTACAGTTCACATTATAGCTATGGTTGGATACTAATACTCTGCTATGTATTTTTGAGTGTAATGTCTAAAAAGTGAAAATAAATCTATATTTTTGGTTGGATGTGTAGTTCTAAGAAACAAACAGTGCATGATTCTATGAAACAGTAAATTTTACAACATGTGGAATATGTCATCTTGTAGGCATTAGAAGATCGTCTTTCTGACTTAGCTAAAGGTTTTGAAGAGGCCACCGTGGATAAAAACGACCAAGATGAAAAGACGCGAAAAATGGACCAACAGTTAGAGACTGCTGCCCGGTTCCGACAGATTCTTGCGATGGAACACGAACATTGTTTACAGATATCTGAATCATTGCCACGTCGTAAAATGGCTATTCCTGGCAGTGCTGCTATGGCTGCTGCTTTTGCTACATATCTTGGCCCATATGATCACAACTTCCGACGTGCTATGCTAACGGTTCATTGGCCCATGTGTTTGCGAGAACGTGGTGTGCCGCTTATTATCGATTCCATTGATCCAATGAGAGGTAGGAAATGAATTCAAGATGTTAAACTGCCTTATATTATTACAGTGTATTCTTGGTGACTTGCTATACCCTACTCATTATGATTTTTAGAACACTGTTGGTAAAGAATACATGACCAGAGTGAGAAACTGACTAGATACTATTTATACAGACAATCAAAAGTAAAAAATTCAAATTTTCTAATTTGTTGGTGAGATCTTACCATTTCATTGGGGAGAATCCAAAGTCATACATATCAATTTGTTGATGAGAATTTGTGAAACAAATTGGTGTAATTTTCAAGTCTCCTCTACAAATGAAATTTTTATTTTTGTCATTGAAGCAAATGAATGAATGATATGAATATAAAAAATTGCAGACATTAGTGTCTTGGACTTTTTACCTATAGTGAAATGCAGAATTCTTGTTTTGTACCCTCTGTTGTAGGGAGAAATTTAAAGCACTAATAATTTTGTCGAGTAGAGAAAGTGACTTAAGCTTATCTCTAATTGGCCACTCAACTATAACACTTAAGTGTTTAAGCCAATCAGGGAATGCCTTTCAATAGTGCATGTTGATGACCTATCGTTTTGTGTTTTGTAAAATACTTCAACCATGAATGATTGTGTTTGCAGGCAGAAAATCAAGTATTAGATCCATTTATGTGTTGTATTTTCAGGTCGTATTGTTGACTGGGCCATAGATGGGGGCGGATCCTACGGTACTAGTACTCTAGAACCAAGCTTTATGGTGATTGAAGAAGAAGATGAAGGACCAGAAAGTGGTATTGAAGATGAGATGGAGGAGGAACCAGAACTTGAAACAGAAAAGGTAAATTGTTTTCAGCATTACAAAGTGCACAACATCATGTGGTGGAATAGAGAGACGAGTTGCCTGATAGTGACTTTTATAGAGGTATCATTGTTTGAAGAGATGTACATTGATGACTAGAATTAACAGCCTGACACTCTGCTACTGGATGTTTAACCATAGATCGTAGATATAGTCAAGGTATACAAGGGGAAAATCTCTGTCTTTGTTGTTGTTATAATGACTTTATTGTCCTTGTCGATGTTTTGTTCACTCCTAAATTTTAGCCTGTATTTTTCACTCAAAAAGTTTAGATATATTATTTCTTTGTTTAAAGACTTTTATACTCACTATTGCCATAGAAGACTAAGATTGTGCATCATTAGTTTGTATCCATCCATTTTATCTAGATTCTCAATGGGCATGTACAGACTATGCTATGTTGATCAAATTTCTTTTTGTATTTAAATCTGAAACCTATAATGAAAATATGTAGTTCCTCTTTCATTCTGAGTTCTGAAAAAGTATCAAACATTACATTCTTATTTATTTGTCTTACGATGTGTTTTTCAGAAGGATGTGGCCAATGCAGCTGAAGAGACCGGAGCCGAGAACAAGGAAAAACCACCTGTAGAAAAAGAAGAAGATGCTGGATTGAATGACCAAGGTGCATGTTTAATCTAATTAACTTATTGAATAAAAAATATGTGACATATTATCGAGATATTAAATGTATATATGGGCTGATAAAACTCATACTGAGATCTGTAAGATATTCAACAATCTAAAATAAACACTGGCAAATATCACTTGTGATAATAGGTAATGCTGGTCTTGGTGAGGAACATGGAGAGTTTGGTCCGATGGAGGTGGCTGGCAGTGAATTAAGTGAGAGTCGATATGCGTATACAGCGGATACCCTTCCTAACATAACACCACAGGAGTATATGCAGTACACCAAGGCACTGGTCAAGATAATTATTGGGGATAAATTACTACAAGAATGGATTACAAAAGGTAGGTATCTACTATAAGCATTCACACTGTGTGATGTCATGTACATTTATGTAAACTCGCATCAGAATTTCTGACAACAAATATCACTCACTGATCATCTCACGATTTGCTTTGACAATGTCACCAGTATTATTAACATGGGCAGATAAATGTATATTTAAAACAACAGCAGCAAACAAGGTTGTTATTTTATTTTTGTATGTGAATGACCAACTCTGTACTGTGCATGCTTGCAAAACATATGCAAGTGTGAGGGCCTATACAAAGCATGTCATATCAGTGAAAGCAAAAAAATATGGATTGTAAAGTATTTTATCGCAGAGAAATCATTTTGGGCTTTTTGAAAGAGAGCAATGTTAGACATTAAGTGTGTGACACGAATGGGATAGTTTGGTGATGGAAATCCAATAAATTCAGAAATCTGTGAATCATGTTAGGCAAAAGCCATTCTGTAAATCATACACCTGGTGTGTGGTATATTGGTTAGTGTCGTCAGCATCAGAGAGATTGACATTGTTCTCTCTATAGGTGTAAGTCCACGTGATATTGAGAATGCAGCTATTTTGCACACTTCATGGCAGAGACCACCACTGATTATAGATCCATACATGCAAGGTGTTAAATGGCTGAGAAGATCAGTACCCAAGAAAACAAAACTTGTCAGTGTTGATATGCAAACCAGGTAAGTCAATGCTAACACCTCTCATTACATGATTTATTGTAAGAATACTTACCCACAAATTGCTGGATATTCTCGGACCACCACTTACATGACATGCATGCATATAAGGTGTAACGTAGATGAAGCTATTGTTTGTTTTACTTACTCAGTGATTTATTGAAAAGAATAAAAAAAAACGATCTGTTTCTGGTCCAAGGTTTTTTGAAAAAAATTATATGCTGATGCCTTTTATATTTGCTTGCATTTTTTTTCTTCCATATAACCCTAAAAATAGCATTTGCACGGTTCATTTTGAACTGATATTTGTGCAGACGGGAAAAAGATGGATTTAAAAACTTCGAGGCCATTTTGTTGTCCATTGAAGCCTGTATGCGGTGATTGGCTGATTTTTTTAATTGTTCAAATTATGCATTTTGAAGAGTGAACATCACATATATCACAATTTGCTCTGCATGTTCTTACCATTCTTTTCTTGAGTTTTGGGAAATTGCTGTAAGGAATTATTATTCACAATGCACTTTATTCAGAGTTCTTCGTCAGTTTGTCCAAGACATGCACATATACACCCATGATTGAGTGGTTCCAATAACAAAACCCGAAATGACTTTTAACACATGACCACAAACCATTGTGGGATAAGTGCTGTAGTGTCACCCCAATATTTTATGAAAATAATGAGTTACAGACTACATTCATGATTCATTCAAAATCTAAATGGTGAATATAAAGCAGTCACTTCTGCGCAAAGTAAATTGTATGCGCACAAATCCCAGGAGAAAAAATAAATAAAATGACCAACATAACTCTGCTCTGTTATTGGAACCACACAGTTTTGTTTTTCTGTACAATAATGACTGTTCATATCTATATTATTTATAAATTATAAATGTTTTTCTCCATTTTTTTTTTCAATGCATCCCCTAGATGGTATGTACTATAAGTGTGTGTTTTACTGTGTATTCATTGCATGCAGTTTTGTTTATTGTTTTGTGTACCAAGGTGTTGCCATTCATGTGTGCATTTGTAAACCCTTAAAACACCAATTTCGTCACTTTTCACAAAATAAACAGTCAGGGCTTAAACTTCGGAGTTGAGAGGCCGTCTATTTTCAAAGCAAAATTTGATAAAATTGCTTTTGGCATACAGAGATAGTTTGGGGAAAAATCTGTATTTTTTTAGGAGCATCAAGGTGATTGATACTTCTACAATATTCAAGCCCTGAAACTTGCATATTTTTTCCCATACTACTTCAGCAGTTTTGTTCTAAATTTGCAGTCAATGTGAAATTAGGTTATCACAAATGTGCACAATGTTGGCGACAAAAATGTTGGTTTTTCATTGGTTAGAATCATCAAAATCACTAAAAATATTTTTTTTTTAAACTGTTTTTATTATTACTGACTTTTTGAATAAATTTCTTCATTTGGTTACATGGTGATAAAATATGTTTGGTTGTTGTTGAGCTAATTTTTGTTATTGTGAAATTTCTGCTTTTAATTGCTGTTTTTGCATTGTTTGAAGTTAATTTGTGTTTATATTTCATTTCAACACAGCATTCATTTTCATTGCCACTAACACTCCAGTGTATTTCTGCACCATGCATGTCAGTGATGGATTCATTGCACATTCAGCATTTTAAACATGGGCGGGCAGCCATGCTGTGACTATTGAGAAAAATAACCCATTGAATGTCTTATATTGGCATCATCAGCAATTTCCATGGCACACTATTATGCATGTTAGCAGTAATGTATTATTACCTAGGACCCAGAATTTGGCACATTAGAAAAATTGATATTTATCGATTATGAACTATTAATTAATATCCCTCCATTCATATGGTAAATGACAGCACACATACATAATTGAAGAGGGCATATATAGCAGGCAATGCCTGGTGTGCAAGGGTGTCTGACCAGTTTAATAAATTACTATAGAACTGACATAACCAGAGTACATCAGAGCACATGAACTGTGGACGTCGTCAAGAGTTATTAGTTCATGCTTAAGTTGGGTGGAGTGGGATTTAAGATGGGGGACCATGCATGACTCTTTGTGTCCCTATTGTGCAAAATGACTTGAAACAAATATTTAGAGTCAGAAAATGATTACTTTATTAAGAAAGGTATTTATGAAGATATTTTGAAATAAATGAGCTGTCACACTTTGCATAATTTGTGAAACAACAGTTAAACAAACAAAATAGCACCACCTGCCATCAGAACTCTCATTGACATTTAGACTTCTTCCATACTCTCCCATATTATATACATGTTATCTAATGACCTCACTTGACAGGCTACTTGAACAGCGCTTGCTACTATAAAAGCACTTGATTTTCAGGCAAAAATTAGCTTTGAATATTTAAAATTATTAAGGAAATATCAGATAATTTTTCTGGTGGTCTTTGAGAATTACAAGCCCTGTACTCTGTTACACATCAAGTATACAATTGTTTAACCAATCTCCTGTGATTTTCAGGTTTGATCCGTCGATTATACTGCAGATAGAGAAATCCATTCTTAGTGGACACCCTGTGTTACTGATGAACTGTGAGCCACACATTGATAGTATGGTCTCGCCGCTGATACATCACAGGAACACTGCAAACGAGAAAGAAAAAGAAGGTACTGTGATCCTAAATGTTAACACGGTGAAATCGCACCGCTCACGATTAATCACTCGTATTTTACTTTCTAGCAGGTCACAGTATGCACAGAAGGTGTAATCACAATCAAACACATCAAGCAATTATATTTGCCCCATTTCACAGATCTCAACTCACTATCAGTTTAAAATCGGTGTCCTCATGCTTGGTCATAAAAGGTGATTTCTACACATCCATGCCAATATCACCAACCACATGGTTTCTGGGTTACCCCCTTTCCCATGCAGATTTATCACAGCTTAAAGCAACCTGCAACATACCCTACACTAATAGATATAAGGGATTTCTATTTGGGTGTACATCTTGCACATTATTCCAATTTAACCTTTGAACCAAATACCATTGACTTTTTAATACAGTTTATCACAGAGTAACACTTCGGGTGTCATTCTAATCGCACCAAAAATAAATCAGCATCAGAAATAAAACTGCCACTTAACTCATGGAAGAGAAAATCATCTGCCTGATTTTTAATCTCCATTCAAACAATGTCTGAAAATCAGGGAGCCATGTGACCTTATGTTCTATACTGTGCATTCACTCACCTTCCAGCATATGCATGTCCCAAGTATCAGTTTAATTCAAACTTGTTTTCTTCGGAAGACGAATCTAATTCTCAATTGTTGTGGAAGTTGTGTAAACTTATCTCTTCTGCAACTGAGTGGTTTGTATCATTATTATCATACAATAGAATACCGTCATGGTAAATTCCCAGTGGTCTACATACTTTAACTTTATTTCAAAGTATTGAAAACTTGCACATGATTTTCTCTTGCATTGAAATATTATTTCTTGTAATGTGATTTAAAGTGCCTGTGAAATGACTGCATATCAACTTGTTTATAAGTTATTTGGCAATAATTTGACAGACACTTTGACTCAGAATATTCCTAATAATGCCAGTGTTATTGTTTTGTGTATAATTCATATTTAGAAATGTTTGGAAGTGCAATGTATGTATATGTGTCTGAATAATGTGCCATTCATATAACACAGATGCAAATACAAACACTGCACTTCTATTATGTGTTTCAATAATTGTTGTCACTGTGTT